TTATGATCAGTTATGATGACGACTTCTGATATGCAGGGCTTGAATTCCATTATTTACAACGCTACAAAATGTTTGTTTCGGTGAAATTCTACTTCTTCTCCCCCTCCCCCCTCCCCCTCGCCTCCTCCCTCTCATGCTCTCACCTCCGATCCTCGTCTCCAAGTCTCTGCAATAAGGTCTGTCTGCAGAACAGGAGCAACCAAACCGTCGTAGAGATCTGAAAGGAATTATTTTTCCTCAGTTTAGGAAGAAAAGAACATTTGCTACCGTTATTAAACTGATTGCTTTTTGCAAACGAAGTAAACTTTTGTCCATTGATAGTGGTCAGAGTCAGGGTGTTGAAATAAGGCTCTCCTTGCTTGTACTTGCCAGCAATGACCTGGACTTTAGAATTTTATGACAGGCACATCTTCTACTAGACTACTTTACCTGTGCCAAAACTGGAAAGTCTGCGGCCATTTTCGTAGGAAGCTGTGACGAATAGATATCGGGTTTGTTGTAATACAGCTGAGTAGCTACAACACTCAAAATTCCACAACTAGTAGGGACTGGTGGAAGAAGCTCACCTATGCCTTCTAGGGCAGCATAATTGAAGCTAAGACATAGCATCGTCTGTCCGTAATCGTGTCCGGTAGCTGGATATTCATAGTGATCCGGAGGAGGAAATTTCGGAACGCTGTGAATTAGCCAGACACCGCTGGTGCTGTCAAAGAAAATAGTGCCTGAAAAATATTGGCTCAAAAAATGGTTTAAGAAAATAGCAAATATTTTTTTTTGAATAAGGCAATGCTAATTCTTCACAAATGTTTCTGAAGAAAGGAGGAGAAAAAACTCTACTCCCTCACTGAACATTCGACATAATTTTTTCAAGATTATACCTTTGGTGTGTCCGAATTGTATGGTAGGCAATTCAGCTCGATTACCCATAAGAGTTTCGAGAAGTGTTGGAGAAGTGGAGTTATATGGCTGGAAACATGATTTGTGATAGACAAGAGTCTCAAACAGAAATGTGGTGAATATTTAAGCGTTGTTAACTCTCTTCCTT